TAAAATACAAGTTTCTTATTGGTTGATATAAATAGTATGTTTATTATTCATATTATATAAAATTTCAAAAAGAGGGGGGGGGGGGTTATGTTAAACGAAGAATCAAATTGGTGTGGCCTAATTAGCAAAAAATACTTTGTTTGGTTAAATAAGTGTTGAATAACAATATTAATATTCTTATATTTTTGATTAAGTAATGTAGTAGCAAGTAATTTTTGAGTGGGAAGTTTAAATGCTGAACAAGCTTTTGAAAAAAATATTTTCCAATTCTTATTTTCTAATATATTAAAGAAAGCTTCTGAAAAATAAAAAGCACATACAAATAGACTTTCTAAGATATTTTGGTCAGCTCTAGACAATTTGTATACAAAATTATCTACTGTAGCTTGATATTTAGCTCCAGAAGAACTTGTATCTTTTACACTGTTCACCAAAATACAAGATTTATAATGTTCTTGTAATCTTGTTTTGTTTTTGGCCCAATCATTTCCACATTTCTGACATCTATATCTTTTTTTTCTTTTAGAATCTTTGAATATATTAAATAAATCATAATATTTATCTTTATTACGAGACATTATGTAAAATAATTTTAATATTGAAATAAATATTATTTTCTGAACTAGAAATAAGTTGAAAAATATCAAAAGTCTAGTAAGAATTATGTATATACATAGTACTTTATCTTTTATAAATAAATGAAGTTAAGTTTCTCTTTTAATTATCATGTGTATTGGCTAAAAGAAATTATAACTTTCTCTTTTTAGTATAATTAATTATTTAAACTAAATTTGATATATTAAAGCTAAAGTTGTATGCATATTTAAATAGTGGCTGTGTGATGATCACCACTAGATCAATAATTATATACTATGCACATGATTATTTTTACCCACACTTTAATTATAAATATGCAACAATTTTTGTCATACTATTAAGATAACGGGCTGAGTTATAACCAGGTTAACCAAAATTGAGGTATTTTACATATTTAAAAAACATATGATATGTATAATAATAAATATCGAAAATTAAAATAAAATCTGAAAATTAGATTAAAATGAATATTTAGGTTTTTATTTAACTCTATACAAACTTATACTTATTTATTATAATTCTATACTTATTATCTAATTATATATTATGCTCACATATATTGTTGCAGGTCAATCAGTAACTTTTTACTAACTAGTCTACTCAGACTACAAAGCACTTTTATCTTGCAATATTTGCAATAATGATAGCCTCTAGTATATTTTATACCAAGGTATGTATATTCTTGAGATAATTTTTATATTTACTTTTATTTGAATACAAAATTTAATTTATCTTATTATATCATAAATTGGTGACTGTATATGACTCAACTATTAATATATACATCATATATAAATTTAATCTGATTTATGTTCCTGACTTTTTTATATTATGTAAGCATATGATATTTCGATCAAGCAAGTTTTTATATATTTTTTTATTATATTCCCACTAACTTGAATTCTATTTATTGCTTCCTAGTAGTAGCAAAATAACACTAGCATTATCATGACAACCATATAACCAAATCTAATCAAAATTTTTTATTTTAATTTTATAGACATATAAAATTAAAGTATAACAATTTTGGTGAATTTGGTTATATGATTATTAATAATATTGCTTTTTTTGCTCTGCAAAATCTGGTGTTTCTGCTTTTTAGTCATCCATATAGATGGGTGCCTAAATTATTTTTGGTTTGCTATAAATAAAAATTGCTGAAAATATTTTAGGCAGCCTAAATTATAAATAATTTTGGTAGCTGAAAATATTTCCCAGTTGCCTAAATAATTTAGACTACCTAAAATAATTTCAAATGCATGTTTGCCTTTGATGTATATACATGTGAATCTAAGAATTTTGAAAATTATAAAATAATTTAAACCAATAAAATATTTAAAATAAAAATATTTATTTTATTATTTAGTACTAAATAATACGTAACACAGTATGTCAGGAGCCCATATAATTAACAACGCATGCTATATACTGGCATGCTTTTATTACTCTGAAGTACAAGATTATAAACACATACAGATAGACAAAAATTTTCTAAATTACTGTTTTGATACTATTTTCATAATATTTATGCATATATATTAAAATAGTATGTTATTATTATTGAAATGCATCAAAAAACGTAATATTTATCTACCTTACATAGAGATTAAGTTCTCCACTACGCTCTGGGTATTTATGCTTTATAATAATTAAAATATATGCAATTGGTCATCTAAAGGACTTTAGATAGCACTCTTGTTCATTCTGTAATGCGACTATATATAGATATCTAAATTATTTTTAAAAAATCGCATTTTCAGCAATCATTTTGGCATTGCCAAATTTTTTATATGAAACCCTTAGAAATAACTATATTGTATAGTGTATTTTGATGAAAAGAGTTCAAAAAATTTCAGCAATAATTTTGGCAAATATGGAAATTAATTTCGGCACAATATAAGACTAATTTTAGCTGCCTAAATGCCGCAATTACTTTTTTATTAAGATGGGCAATTTAGGCACCCATGTATAAATATAACAGTCAAACATACTAGATATATATAAGAAGTTGCATATAAAATTAAAGCCACTATGTTATAGTTAGAATTAAAGTTAGAACAACACGGCTTTTATTAGCAAAATTTCACAAGAAGCATCCTTAATTAGGCCACAAAAGTAGTTTTTTTAATTAAAATTTAAAGCTATTGTTTTTATTTTTGCTTTTTAATTTAAATGTTACACCTAATCTTAAAATTCTATTTGTCAAAATTAAGAGGTAGGTGATTTTAACATAATAAATTAAGTTTATTTTTTTGATAACAGAAATAATTTCAAAAATAAAAATAGTTACAGCAGCCAAAAACATTCTAACTGCTATGAATAATTACAGCAATTATAATAGCTGAAATAATTTCAGTATTAAAGTACATGATGAAAATATAAAAAATATCAGCATGCTGTAATGTCTAAATCCTTTCAAATTTAAGCATCTATAAATAGTCATCCAATTCTATATACTACATATATTAGTTTCTACTATTACTACAAACAGATTAGAAATTACACAGTATATATCTCAGATAAATTGCATATAAAAGGTATGCCTGATCAAAAGCAAGAATTTGTACAGATACTTTATATTTCATAAATGACTATATATATAGTCTAGTAATTTTTATAATTTATAACTTACTTACCTTACATTGTAACTTACATAAACTAAAATGTAATTTACATTAAATTTTGATAACTTATACAAATTGTCCAACCCTATTATTAGATAATATTTTAGGGTAAGAGAGTCAAGCAAGCCTTATATAAAACAATTATAGCCAATCAAATTTAGCTAAATATCTTATCTAGAGATAGGGAGTAAGCCTTTATAATAAAAAAATATTAGGTAATAAACATTAGCACCAGTATCTAAAATTGGGTTGTAGAGTCTGCAGACCGCAACAAAATTTTAAATTCCCGCAACCAAAATCTAAAGTGTATATGCAAATTCCGCATATAAATTTGTATAAATTTCAATTAAATATTTATTTTGCACAACTAAATTTTTATAAATTTTTATAATTTGCAAGTTATTTTTTTTAGAGTAAATTTATTTATAGCGGGGGGCTCCAAATACTATATGTCGGCCTTAATATAAATTGTGTTACACTATATATATGTCGATTACTATTTTGTTTAATACCAAGTATATATAAATAATTACAATAATTGTATAACCTACTTGTATAGTACGTACGTACTAGAGTTTGGAACCGGTTTTATTTTTATATGTTAGAACCGGTTTTAATCAGTTTTAACATATGAAAAATAAAACCGGTTCCAAACTCTAGTACGTACATATGTACCTATTTGCTTCAATGGGTTTACTACGTAGCATCTATGTTTTTTAAGTATGTTATTTTTCCCCTAGAAAAAAGCACATTAGTAGGATCATCTAAAGCCAGGTTGTAATTTATATACGTCACATGATTTAATTTACAAAAACTATCTGGCTTTCGACGACCTCTAGTAGTATTCCTTTATTAAAAAGGAATACTAATTAAAGTTTACAGATCCGTTAATCATATGTATGGTGCAGAAAACCTAAAAACTTCAATTATTTTATGTAAAATAAAGGTTAACTAACTCATTGAAGATAAACTAAATTTGTCATTCTCAATAGCATGTTTGCATATATATTGTTTTC